TAAACCCTGAACCCGAAGCCCGAAACGCCTCATCGAAGGGATCCGGTGTTGCAGGGTCCATATTGGGTTCCTTACTTCTGAAACCCCGAGGTCGACGTTAGGGTCTGGGCCTCATGAAGGGGTTCGGGGCTCAGGGCTCCGGGCAAAAGGACTGGTTTTAGTTTTTAGGGTGCAGGGGTGTGTTGCAGGTTTAGGAAGGTTTCCGGACGGATAGAAGCCTTGTTTTCTGCGCTTTCTCCCCCGTTTTGCAAGTTTAGGGTTTAGAGTTTGCTTAAAGACCCCCGATTCATCACTCCCAATGACCCCGGCGCCGCTAGCCATTGAACTCCGAAGCCCTAAACCCTAAACCCTAAAGCCCTGAACCGTGAAGCCATAAATCTGAAACCCTGAAACTGTGCAACTTTGTCACCTAGACGACGTGAAGATCCGTGAAGCGTCCAACGGACGATGGCTTCGGGGTTATTGTTTGCACGCTTTTGGTTTAGGGTCGCGGTTCCAAGCCAGGGCTATCGCTAGGGAACGTGGAGCCCAGGACCGATCCCATTCTGGACTGCTGCTATTGAGGGAGCTTTGGGGGATTCAATTTCAGTCTGCTGCAAGCGTCGATTCAGTTTTGTCTGCTACAAGCGTGTTGTCCTTCTGGGTCATGGAGCTCAGTGCTTAGAGTTTAGAAGTCTGCTGTAAGGGTTCTTGGGTCTGGGTGTTCCCGCTCGTGGTTGTTCTAGGTTCCGGACTTTCACGGCACAGCGCGCAGACCCCAAACCCGAAAAGTAAACCCCAAACCACTAAACCCTAAACCCTAAACCCCAAAAGTAAACCCCAAACAACAAGCACTCAGCCCCTCACCCGGAAGGGCAAGCGGACACAACCCCACTCAGCCGAAAAAACCCCAAACCATAAACCAGAAACCCCTAAACCCCTAAACCCCAAACCCTAAACCCTAAACCCAAACCCTGAATCCTAAACCCCAAGCCCTGCAACCAAAAGCCCGATGAATCCAAAGCCAGAGACGTGATCAGTCCCTAGAAATCCTTCAAGCACCTTGAAGCCTAGACGATAAGCCCTAAACGCTAAGCCCTAAACCCTAAACCGTAAGTCCCAAACCCTAAACCCTAAACCCTAGACTTTAGAAATCCCTAAACCCTAACCCAAACCCTAAACCCCGAACCCTAAACCCTAATTCTAGACTGCTAAGAAGCTTGCAGGTCGAATCGCGGATTTAATCGCGCAGCTTGGGATGAATATTTTGGCATTGGGGGGTTTCCGTGTTTAGGGTTTCGGGCTTAGGGCTGTGGGTTTAGCGTTTAGGGCTAGGGCTTTGGGTTTAAGGCTTTGTGTTTACGGTTTAGGGTTCAGAGTTTAGGGTTTAGGGCTTAGGGTGGAGGGTTTTAGGGTTTAGGGTTTAGGGTCTGGGGCTTGAAGTTTTTGGGTTAAGCACCTGGAGTGTCGGGTAGAAGTCCTGCAGATTAAGGTGCAGGGGCTCCTAAACCCTCAACCCCAAACCCTAAACCCTCAACCCTAAACCCCAAATGCCAAACCCTAGATGGGAGGGTCGGGTCTAACATGTGCGAAAGCCCTTCAACCCTGAAGCGAGGATCGCCTCAGCACTGAAAGCCAAAGGCCTTGGCAGCTAATTTTCAGACAACAGAGACAACTCGCGGGACGATCTCGGTTTAGAGTTTGGGGTTACAGGGAGGTGCAGTAGCAGAAGCAGCAGGAACAGGACGGTGAAGGAAGGGGTTGTCAACCCTCAACCCTCAACCCGGCAGAAAAACCCCAAAAGCACCCTACTATGCTTGGCCGAAAGCCAAGTTGCATAATATAGGGGCCTAAATAATTACCAATACTATGTTGGGGGTTCCTGACT